AACTTTTAGTTTATCTTTTCTGTATTATTCGAATTACATCTTATACCATATCTTATCTTATGCCATAATAAACACTACTTGTTTGAGAGCATATCATCATTAATATTTGAGTACTTTTCTAGATATTCTTGGAGAAGTCACAACTAGCATTTTGTTATGCATGAATTTTGTTGGTAAAGTAAAAATAGCAAAAAAAAAAAAAAAAAAGTTCGGCTATAAAAAGGGTGACCCAAAGATTGTGTGGAAAATAAGTCCCCTTTTTTGCTCCCTTTTTATGCTTTTCTTTAGTTGACCAACACTAATGTTGGTAATTTGCACCAGATTAAGTACACTAGTGTGTGTAATAATTAGCCACACCCAAATTTGTGCTTTCTTGTTAGACCACTATTCATACATTTGGTATAAATAAACAAATATCTAAATGTGATTAGGAAAGATGTATGTGATCTTTGTGAAATTTCAATATATACTTTGGATGATAAACAAAATTATGCCCAATTTATGGCATCGTACAAGTAAATAAATTTAGGTTTTGAAATTCATCACAAGAACTTATAAAAATACACTAGTTAATCAATATGCTTCAATTATCTCAAGGTAAAATATATCCCCCGTGCATTTCCTAAAATTATATATGGATGTAAGAATCTATGAATAATGTATCAACTTTCATGCTATTGTCTTCTTTATGCTTTGAGTTTTGAATACTCTGATTTGCCTTACCGGTACACATAGGGTGTGTGGTTGTATAGTGCATTCGATCGTAAGGGGTTTCCGACCGAAAATTACATTTAGTACTATATTACTAAAATATTAGAAGATAAAAGTAATAACACATTAATTAGAATATACTTGCATGCTATCAATCTCATTCATGTTTTATTAATAATAAAAATTTAGTTATTAAGAACTTTACATGTCCACACACAAAAGATACAAAATTTTAAATTGAATTTAGATTTTAGGATTAATACATTATATGTTTATGCTTCAAGGTTGCAGTTGATCGAGGTCGTTGTCTCAATAAAAAATAACCTAAAAAACCACTAGATAGCTAGGGTACGTAAGCGTCGAATCCATGAAGAGTTTATAGTCAAATTTTGTGTTAAAATAATCACCGGAAAAACTACTACTTGCAATTGTCACGAAAAATATTTAAATTAATATTTAAATGAAAAAAGCAGACACTTTATATTGAAAATAATTATAATGACGAAAACAAGATTACTTTTGGCACACATAGACCAAAACAATACAGCCTAATCCAAAATTTTACAACAAACACTTATCAATAAAACTCAATTAAAAAAAACTTAATAACGAAAAGGAAAAAGATATTGTCCCGTGGTTCACAATGGAATCACCACCTAATTAATATTAAATATTAGCAATCTAAACATTCCTATTGTAAAGTAACCAATTATGGTACAAACCGGTTACTAACGATAATGGATATTAACTTACACGACCAACGTTTATAATGCATAACCATGGCCGTTGATTATTTTTATTACGTAACTAAATCATGGGTTGTAACTAATGTAAAAAACTTACCAAATCACAACGGTTTATAAAACATATAACCTATTTCATATACATAATGTTTTATTCCAAAACCTTTTCCACACGCAAGATTTACCAAAATAAATATTATAATCAAAATGCATTCATTATCTATATTTAAATACATTGAACTTTTATTCAATTCACATTGCACACTTAAAAATCTTTAAGATGTATTTAGTTAACAAGGCTATGTTACAACTAACTTGGACGTGTAAAATGTGTCGTGTTGTATCAAAATAGTAAAATGGATATGAGAGCTTGACTCTAATCCGACTGTTTAATTACATGTCATGTTGTATCAACAATTTATTTTCATGACATATCAACCATTTATTTTCATGACGAGTTCGTGTTAGGTTTCAGGTTAGGGGTATATTTTGAAAAATGTTTTGACATATGAAGTTTAAACACTATATATATTGAAAGAGTATGAGTTAGCTAGACATAAAAGATAAAAGTAATGGTTGGGAAAGGATTAGCTAAATTTATAGTAAGTTTATATGGAAAAATGGAAATAGTATGAGTTGGAAGAGGAGGACATGATCATGAGGATGAGAGTGTGGTCGACAGACTGTTTAGTTTGGAAAACAATGAAAAATTTGAAAATTAAGTTTTGATCTAGATGGCTAAATCGTTTCCACATTACAAAACGACCCAACCAAAATGTTTTCTTTTTCGTATGTTTTCAATTTTGGGTCCTTATAGTTTATTTAAAGAATTAAAAAAAACTTACATACAATTAAATGGGTCATTTTCGAGTTGAAACTTTCAATACCAACCTTATCCATTTAACGTCCATGTCGTGTCGTGTCAACGTGTTTAATTAAACATGTTAAAATATTTTAGGGGTTGTTTGATATTTGCTAAATAGGTTAGATATGACTAGGTTAGAAGTTGATGGTATTTAGAAATGCTGACTGAGTCCACATCTGATTAAGTTTACGTTGTTTGATTATTTTTCTGACCGATTATGTTGAATGATGAAAAAGGACAAGTTTACCCTTATGTTTTCTCTTGTGTTGGTTAAAATAACTATAAAAATACAAACTCTTGCATAAAATCTAAATTAAACATATATCATTTAAACTCTAAATACAAATTGTCATTTTAAATAGAAATACAAATTGATTAAACAGCTAAAACGTCATTTGATAAAAAGAGAACACAAAGAACTGATAGATCAAATCAAAGTTACAGACATAAAAAATATATTTATCAATGAACATATTAATTGAGATTGAAATTTACCCAACACAAAATGGTTATACAAACTATAAATATAATTTCATCATTTCTACTCTTCAAGGGTAAAACAAGGATGTTGTGTTCATGCTTGAAGAAGTTATCTTTGATCTTCACCAACCTATTTTGTCTTTGAAGTACTTTGTTCCCAGATAACTTGCCTTCACAAAATTGGTGTCATCACAATTTTTATCATTTATTTTGAGATCAAAATCTCTGTAGTTTTCATAAGCTTTTCTTGGAAACATCACTTCTTTTTCAGGGTTCATATAGGTGTTCAAATATTGAATCTTGAAAATAACATTTTTATGAGAAAATGGGATCGATGATTCTTGTAACAATTGGTAAAAATAGGAACGATCGTACGATGCTATGTTTTGATTATTAAGCAATATGAGTATTTTATCAAGAATGGTTGAAGGAATTTAACCTCTTTTATTTAAATAAGTTCTTGTGAAATATAAAACAAGTAACTATTGATAAATTTTGTTATGATGTATGACTACGAACCATCACCGGTTTGTGAAAATTAGCATGTAATATCATTTGAACGCAACAAACTTAATTTTTGTATCAACATATATCTAGTTGATAAGTAAGTTAGGTTCTATGTGAAACATGTGCTTAATACTTGTGGAGGATCTAATTTTGACAAATATACGAACCAAAACAAAACATGTTTAACGATATGGTTAACCGGTTAAATGTCACGAAATTATACATTGGTCAATAAATTTTATATTTAAATAAATAAAAATATAAAATGAATTATTATAAGGTATAATTAGAATGTATTTAAGTGTTTTTGAATAAAAAGAATAAAACATAAACATTAAAGTCCAAATACACAAAAACTACATTGTTATTTTATACTAAGTATACATGTATGTATTTGTACACACTACTAGAAAAACAGCCTTTTACGATGCTCATTGCGCGTCGTAAAAGGCTCAGACGACGCGCAAATGTGCGTCAAGGAAGGCCCTGTCATAAAGGAAGACGACACACTTTTGCGCGTCGTCTATAGACGACGCGCATTTACGACGCTCATTTACGACGCGCAATTATGACACACATTTACGACACGCAATGCGTATCAAGGAAGGCCCTGTCATAAAGGAAGACGACACGCGTTCGCTTGTCGTAACCTTACGACGCGCGTGTTAATGACATGCAATGCGTATCAAGAAAGCCCCTGTCAAGAAAGGCCATGTCATAAATGAAGATGACACACATTTTTGCGTATCATAATTTTAAATGTTTAAAAAAAGTATTATTTATAGATTTACTAATTGTCAAATTAAATAATACATTAAAAATATCATAATACAAAATAAAATACCATAATTAACAAAGATAATTCATTTCTCTAGTATGTCAAATACAAATAATTATTCCAATAGTGAGTAAATGTTATAAAAAAATGAGCTCATTTATATACAAGTGCATTATCTAGCTTACTATGTGCCAACAACTCTCTGTGTGTTTACTTTTGCTTGAGTCTCGTTTCCTCCAAAGCTTCTAGCCATGCCAAAATATGATATCTTAGGGTTCATGTCCAAATCAAGTAAAACATTGCTAGCTTAAATTCATCAAGTCCTTGGCGTGAAGTCTTAGATAGAATCTTAACTGCAATCTCCAATCCTTCTAGCAGACCCTAAAGATCATTATTGGCCATGTACCAGGATCAACCTGCAATCTGTTATTACTTGCAGCATCTTCTGCCTGTTTGACCAAGGTTGTGCCTTCAGCAGCAACATGCTGCATTGCGTCAAAAAGATAAAAACAAATGACAACAAATACAAATAACTGCATGCTACTTTTAAAAAAATAGAATCCAACTCCTAAATCACAAAACCTTTTTAAACATACAAGAGACAGGATCCAATCCATGGGGTATTCTTGGAAAATAGTCTGAACATTCTTGACAAATCATCAACCTGCAAGTGAAGGGTAGAAAGGGAATTGGAGCTTGGTGATGCTCATGCTGGTAATTGAAGCTTCAAACGCCAAGCCAGGTAGGTGATGCTCATGCTAGAAATTGAAGCTTGGAATTGATTTTCCAATTGTACGTACACATACACATGAGATGAGAATAAGAAACTACTATATTTGATTAGGTTTAGCTAATAATAAGCTAAGGAAGAGGAATGTGCTAAGAAGTTATTATGTATAGAATGAGAAAGAATAATAACCAAAAATCATGTCTTAGACTTATTAACTTTTCACCTATTTGTCTTTCTTCCTAAAAATATTCATTTGATCTGAATAAATATTATGAAACTTGGTTTATTGAAAGCAAGTATTAAATGGTCATGGTCATGTAATTTAGTAGTAGTCTTATTCAATCTAGAAAATTGCAAATTTTGTCCCACTGCCACCCAGGCGAAGAGTAAAGACGTAAATGCCCTTCCTCATAAAGCCTGTGTTATTATGATTATGCTTAAAGTAAAAGACAGAACAGAAAGAATGGGAATGGAGGTTGAGTACCTTATGAAGTAATAGTAGAAGAAATCAGCATAAAGAGCTGTTTGTATTAAGCTAGAGAAACAGGCTGAAAACAAACAAACAAACAAACAAACAAAAAAGTCAAATGAAATACATGTATAGACAATAAGAATAAGAGAAAAGCTTTAACTTACATATCCATCCATTGAAATGGGGCTGTGTGAGATACCGACAAATCCAGTTGAGAATATTCAATGCACGGTATGCCCTAACAATACAATGCAAACAAACAGATTTTCATTCATAGCATCCTATTTTCTAAATGATTATTATACTATTTTTGATCATTTAAAAAACCATTTTTCATGGTTATCCAGCTTCATAATGATATCATGCCAAAATATAGAAGGGAGAATACCCAAGAAAGAAAACATATTGACCGATCAAATTGTCAACATTTCCACTTCGCTGCAACAGAACCAACTGTGGGAGAATAGCAACAGCTTCCAAATAGATAGAAAATGCCCAACATATCTGCACATTCCTAATAATATTAAAAATGTACAACCTTATCTATTGCTACATTTTTATATCTTTATAACACTCCAATTAGGCTAAGCTTTTTTTGAGGAGGGCATTCAGGTCTTTTGGACAAGAGCCAGTCCATGTTCTTTTCATATCTTCTTAATAATCAATATAACCACACTTATTCTCATATATAAATTTGTAATGATTAATTGATTATAACATGTTTCAGCACAAAGACAATGAATTAACTTAACTGTAGTCTGCTTATAATCCTGGCACAAGGTGAAATCTTTATAACATCGGGTGAGTCCACACTGATATTCAAACATAAAACAAGAGCAACACATCCTGTTTTCATCTACAGTTAAAAAACATCATTTTAGAGCTAACTATAAAGAAATACACTACCAATAACAACCCAACAAATCATAGCCTCTGATTTCAAATGCATAGCTGTATTAGCAACGAATGATCACAATTACAAGAACAGCAACACTAATAGCATGTTGGGTTTAGCATATAGCAACAGAAGCCTCCAGCAAATCTCTAAAGCAAATTACTTTGACGATCATGTGAACTCCAACTAACAAAACTAAACCACCCACTACAAGCTTTTTGCTTAATAACTGTTGGTGCAAGTAAGCCAAGTATGGCAAAATACAGCTTTATGTGGCAAGCATACATGATTACAGGTTACCCTACTCATCTAATCAGTAATAGTGGGAAACTAATAGGTCCAACAGAAACAAGGCATATACCTTGTCTGATAGCATATTATCTCATAAGCATATAAAATGCAAAAGGAAATCGAAAATGATGAAAGGGTAAATGCAGGAAACAACAGACACTATAAACCAAATTACATTTAGTGGCACAATTTTTTAGTGGTATATTTTTTTATGCCACTATATTAGGTTTCTAGTGTCACATATTTTTATATGCCACTATATCATGTTCGAAAGTTCTAATTTTTGTTGAGCACCTGTTATATTTCCTTCTAATTATCATTTCACGCTCCTTATTCCCTCCACCATTGAAGGCGTTGCACATACCCCTTTTAAATTCTAGGTCAAAACTCCAAAACAGATTTGAAATTTTTGGATCCCCTGAATTCGCAATCACTTCCGATAACCAAAATCCCCATCACTCTTGTGTATCATCTCCTTCTTTGCTGCTGGTTAAATCTTAACATCTCGTTTGTAGAAGCTCGTTCAAGACCAAATCTATCTCGGTATCTCATAGTTGATTGAAGATTTCTATATCTCATCATCGATTTCATCTTGTTTTTCTGCCTGTTGAATAGGTCCGATTTCGGATCCTCTACATTCATCTCAAACCCTATATATTGAGTTGTTGGATTCCATTGAAAATGTAATCAGAAAATCCTGCGATCTCTCCCTATGTATTACAAATCTACCCTTCGATCTCACCCTTGGCCTTCTCCATCCTGTCGAAAGCTCTCCATTAACACACTCTAAGGATTGTCTCTACTCTATTCTCAAATTTTCAGATTTTCGATGTAAATTGTTGTTGGTCAGAACTTTTTTTGAGTTTATTTTTTAACCTACATTGTTGGAATTTGTTGTCGTTTGGATGTTTTTGGCATTTCTATTTCAATATTAATCGAATATCCTTCATGTTTAGAGATGCACATCAAGTGCTCGGGTAAATTCCTGAAACGAATACCACTATGAGTTTAATTTTTTTGCTATTATATAATGTTTTACTCATTCATTGCACATATATACCCATGATATTTGCTTTTCTGTCACGAATCCTAAAGTTTATAACCAGTATACATATGAAGCAAAAGATGCTTGTATTTTTATTGCCTTATTCATAACTAGAAGAATCTTTAGCTAAAATTATATTTCAAATGCAGGTAGGTTGGTAACATTCACATACAAATGACTGAGCGACTTATACAAGAAGTTTTCTGAGGCACTGGTCCAACAATGGGAAAGGAATTAGAGACTAGAAATATGAAAATCAGGGAAGATGGGGAGGAGGAACTAAATGTAGACGTGTTGAGTGAGAAGAAAAACATGAAAAAAAGATTCATGAATTCCAATGAGGATCCAAAAGTCTAAACCTGTAGCAAAAGAAGGGAAGCAAAGATATATCTCTCCTACGTGATTCCATTTTTGGATACATTTTGGTTACATTATCAGGTTAATTATGAGTTATGAATTTTAATTTTAAAAGAATAAAATAACTTAAAAACAAAATTGCTTAATTGTCATTGAGTTGTTTCTAATTATATTTGTTGATAAATTGTTTATTCTTGGATTTACAGGAAAGAAGAGCTCAATTTGACCAACTTCAAGTTGAATCTCATACGCTTCTAAGAGATGATTGCTTTAGTTATGCATCATCACTTTGTGTAACATAATAGTATAAATGCATTATATTTAATTTTATTTGATTGATCTGATTTAATTAAATGTATTTCATTTGTTAGAAACTAGAAGTGCTTATTGTCTAAAAGTTGATATCATCTATTCTGGAAATAAATAAGACAAAAGAAGCTTGAGGTGCCAAATAAGTAAGTGTTTATGTTTCTTTTTTTATTTTATTTTTGGATGAAATATCTACCTAGATTTGGATGATATTACATTTCGATGATGGAATTCCAAGTTGGCTGGCAATGTGTCATTTGTCCCATAAAAAATGTAGCTAAATTTAGTGAAGACCAAAAAATTCACTACTATTGTTGGTTTGGAAGGAATTGATACCTTATAGCTTTCAAGCCTTATTCTTCTATTGTAATCATATTACATGCTTTATACCCTCAGAGCCCTCTTTAACAAGCTATGGAAGGGTGGTAAGCATTTTATTAATTTTGCATGTCTTGTTTTTATTCAAAAGTCTTATTGATCTAATTTTATTCATTTGTTATGTAGGTATCATTCAGAAACAAAAGAAGAGATGTGAATCAAGTTTTGTGTTTATTCCCTAAAAAGTTTTAGTTCGATAGTATTATGTTGTTAGTATTAGTACAACATTTATATTTATTAAATCTTTTTGAAGACATTTGTATTATAAATTAGTTATTGATAGTATTTTTGTTAGACAAGTTTGAATTTACTTAATGGTATTATGATTTCATTCATTATCTAAGTTCTCTTATTATTATTTTATATTACCTTTAAAATTAAAAAAATTGAGACCTAATTTGTTAATATAATTGTGTTAAAAAATTCCATAAAAAGCATAGAAATAATATTTAATTTTAGAGTAAAATAGTGGCATCAAAATAGTGCCACTAAATCCTACAAATATTTTAGTGGCATAATAGAAAAGTGCCATTAAAGCTCAATAAAGTTGCAGTGGCACAACGAAAAATTGCCACTAAAGGCCTTTAGTGGTAGCGTTTTTAGTGACACTTTTTTTTGTGCCGCTGATTATCCAGGGGGGATTTAGTGGCACTTTTTCGGTTTTTAGTGACACTTTTTCTGTGCCACTAAATGTCGTTTTATTTGTAGTGAGATTACCTGGTCCTTAGGCCGCCATTTGGAGACCAACCCACTTTCAGCAGGAAACAAGATCACCACTAGCAAATACACACTTATAAACTTCCAACCCAAGAATCTCTTCATTCAGTTTCATCAAGTGGCTTACATATACTTTTTAGCCATTGCAACTCTCAATCAGCTTCCTCCTCTTGTAGTCTTTGGAAGAACAGTCTCTCTTTTCCCTCTCCTTTTTATTCTCACAGTAACTGCTATAAAAGATGGATACGAGGATTGGAGAAGACACAGATCAGATAGAAATGAGAACAACAAAGAATCTCTTGTGACAATCCCTTGTGACATGGTGCTAATGTGGATAAGTGATCCTAGTGGCATTGCTTACATACAAACCATGAATTTAGATGGAGAGTCAAATTTAAAGACACGTTATGCTAGACAAGAAACATCCTTAATGCCATTAGGGTCAATATCAGGGGTAATTAGATGTGAACAACCTAATAGAAACATATATGAGTTCACAGCTAATAGAGTTAAATGGTCATAAAGTTTCCCTTAGTCAATCAAACATTATCTTACGTCGGTGTCAGATGAAAAACACAAAATGGGTTATAGGTGTTGTTGTGTACGCTGGACAAGAGACAAAAGCTATGCTAAATAGTGCAATTTCCCCTTCAAAAAGAAGCAGACTTGAACAAGCAATGAACTCAGAAACTATCTGGTTATCTGTTTTTCTATTCATATTGTGTCTTGTTGTTGCTATTGGGATGTGTTTATGGCTAATGAGTCATCAGGATGCAATTGATACGATTCCTTATTACAGAAAGAGCTATCTTATAAAGGGAAAGTTTCCAGGAAAACCGTATAAATACTATGGGATTCCAATGGAGATGTTTTTTGCGTTTTTGAGTTCTGTTATTGTGTTTCAGATCATGATTCCGATATCTTTATACATCACCATGGAATTGGTTCGATTAGGTCAATCTTATTTCATGATAGAAGACAAACACATGTATGATAGCAGTACAAACTCAAGGTTTCAATGCAGATCCTTAAGTATAAATGAAGATTTAGGTCAAATTTGTTATGTGTTTTCTGATAAAACTGGAACACTTACTGAAAACAAAATGGAATTAAGAAAAGCTTCTATTTTGACACGTGTATATATACTGTGTGTTTACTTGATTTCTTCAATTTTACCCCAGACCATGACTATTGACTAGCCTCTAAAAATCAGGTGTGCATGCTGAAATGGTGTTGACACATGTATATATACTGTGTGTGTGTGTGTTGAAGAATAGTTGAAATGAAAAACTTACATGCCAACTAGAAATGGCTCTACATAAGAAAACAAGTGAACTTAAATCCACTGATGTGTTCACTTTCACCTGCAAACCAAAAAAAACATAAGTAAGTTTCTGCTTCAAATCAAATCAAAAGTCTAAACCAAACAAAAGCAGATGCATACCATTGCATAGAGACCTCGAAAAGCATCCTCCTTTTGAATATCATCCCGAATTTTGTTGACATTAAGAAATTTAAGTATTGTCAAATGTTGTTTTAAGTAAAAATTCTAAGAAAAAGGAAATGAGGTTGAAGTTGTAAAATTTTTGGGACTTACATGGCTAAAGCAATATGCCATGCTTGCATGAAATGCTCCGTGTGAGGTGATACAAGCTGAGGACAAACTCATGCATGTCTACACAGGGTGATTGCACTATTTAAAGTGACTCATTAAGCCCTTCACAAATAACATCAAAAAATACTAGATGATGATACAACCCATGTTGGTAAAAGCTCCACCTGGTCGACTAGACCCACTGTTGTTGGACCGAATTACCCCTCCACTAGTCTTGGGTGTGCCAATACTGAACTTGTTTTCATCTATCATAACAGCAAGAGTCATGGCTCTGGCCAAGTTTGCTGGCTGTAAAATACGAACGGCCGAACGTGTGTCATCCTTGAGACCATTAATGAAGGTACCTTCCAACACGCTTTCTGGTATGTCTCCCAACTAACATGACAGTCTCTCAAAATTGCTTACGTAGTCACGTACAGTTCCTTCTTGTCGGATGGTGAGAAACTGATGATAGATATTGCCTTCACCTGTTAACTGGAATCGCTCCAACAACCATTCTTTTAAATCCTCCCAAGAGCGGAATGGGTCCCTTGCTTGACTCCAAGCAAACCAAGCCAGCGCCTTACCGTCCAAGCAAATCGCTGCTGCCTTCAAACGATCACGTACTCCAATGTCTTGGATCTCAAAGAAATGCTCCACCATATAAATCCATCCAAACGCGTCTTCCCCTTCGAAAATAGGAGCTCTAATCTTCCGAAATTCTCCCATTTGTCGACCCCCACCCTTGTTCTTATCGTCCTTGGGTCCCTTTTTGAAGGATCCAAACTCAAGCTCAAATTCAGGATCTTCCTTGTCCTTCTCCTCCTCTTGAATGAGTTTCCCCTTGACAGTTTTCGTCAAGTTATTGATAGCTTGCAGGACTTCTGTGAATTGTGCAGCATTCTCCTTCTTGGCGAGGTTAGCTTCCTCTCGAAGCTTGGTAAGATCCTGCTCCAGGGCTGCAACACCTGCCTCCAATCCAGCTATCTTCTCAGAATTTGTTTTTGACATGTTGACACCAGAACCGTAGCAGCTCTGATACCAATTAATAGGTTCAAGATCCTAACCCGCAGGTAGGAACCTTAACCAGGCCTCCTGTAGTTCGAGAAACAGGGAATTCTCCAGCAAATCGTCTAAGACTTTTATTCCAGCATAAAACGTGATTTATCCCTAGAACATTAATTATATATTCGTATTAACCTAATCATAATCCAAAACCAGATCCTAAAAAACAGGAATTCTAAACTAAATAAAAAAACTACTATTCTAATTAAAAGGAAAGCTAAATAAAAGGAAAACATTTAAAAATTCTTTCTTGAATCTTGATGATTATCCCTTCGTCGATATACTTGACCAAAACGACCAACATGGGTCGTATCAAATGATTCAGATGATAAACAATAACAAATAAATAAATAAAGGACATTTGACACTTATAAAAAAGATAACTGATACTTGTCGTCATACCAGTTACTTAGCAGCAACCTCAAGAAACTCAGCTAGGCGTGGGTGCAAATGAGTTGGACAAACCTACTAAACAAAAAACACCAAAAAAAGTTAATATATAGTTAACATAAACCATTGTTAACAACTAGGCGTAATGAAATTGGATGACTATATTCCCAAATTACCCTTGCCAGGTCTCCAAGCAATGCAAATTGATATCTCGTACAATAGTTTTGAGTCCAACACCATCAGCGTGTGCTTTTGAGTGAATTCCTTGGGATAAGCCTTCCATATACGCTCTGTTATCCCTTTCCTTTTTGAACAAAACACCATAGCGAGACTCCAAATATGTAATAATAATTGATCGATAGAGTTTCTACATAAGTTGCAGGTGATCAAAAATGGCGGAAATTAGGAAATGTAAATTGTACCTTTAGCGAGATTAGGGTAAAGCCATCACGAATTAGAGCCATCATTACCTGTGGGAGACCTAGGGGAAGTTGATCGCCTCTATCCACCTGCCAAAAAAGTGAATCGTCTTCCCGTAAGTTTTCGGCGCTTTCTCCTCATACTCGTGGATGTGCCACATCGGCTTTTCTGAGTCCGGCAAGGTTAAGAACAGTTTTTATGTTATGATGTTTTCAACTCCTATTAACCGGGCATCGGCGACTGGACGATCGTAGATCAAGCACTGTCTCATATCCTCGTTTTGATGGCGACCGAGATGGCGGCATAAATGGAAGGGGGATATCAGAGCACAAAATAGAGAGACAGGGGAGACGGGAGAGAAAAGAGTCGAATGAGTGTTTAAAAAAGCCCTAGAAATTATCCCAATGATTTTCTGATATATGAATTGTTGAGGCATACAACAGAGATGGTATCGTGATTAGGGTTTGCAGAGAAAAGGGAAGAATAGAACGAAGGGGATCTTGAAGCGGGGTATTAAAATTTTTAAGAATTTTGAGGGGATTTCCTTTCCCCCTTACAAGAACGCGCGTTTTAGTAAAAATCATAAAGCGACAATCACAGAGGGCGCACGTTTTAGATAAAGTGCCCTCCGTGTTTTTTTTTTTTTTTTTTTTTTTTTTTTTTTTTTTACATTAGACACTAATTTAAGGGCACGTAATAATGCGTGACCTAAACACTCAAATTTTTTGAATAGACGACACGTTTTTATTGTCACTCTCATTTGCGTAACATAAATCAGTGAGCGTCGTGATTTGCGCGTCGTGAAAGGCTCTTTTTCTTGTAGTGACATATGTATTATTATCTAGTGAATGACTAGTTATGGGTCATGACTTAAAGTAATTTCATGTAAGGAATATGATATCTAAATCAATTAAGATAGGAGAATTGGTGGAGATAAGTGCCAACTTAACTAATAAGTGCTTAATCACTTAAGACATTTTACTAAGAATGCTTCTTAATGCCTCTTCTAATTTTCGAGATTAAGACCTTCTCTCTCCTTAAGGAGAACTCGTAACCAACTAAATAACTAGTAGTTAGTTATTTAACTAACGCTATCTCTAAGCAACCACCCAAGCAAGTAGCTAGACAAGATCACATCACTTAAACTCACATCCCATCACAAGCTAGTCTAGGTTTTGTCCCCTTATCCTCTTCCACCATTTCCACCTTCATAATCACGAAATTTCCTCTTCATTTTACCCTCAATTCACCAGCCAAAAATCCAGGGAATTACTCTCAACCTTCATCTCATTTTCAGCCAAAAGAACTTCCTTTCAAAGCCATCAAAACCGTGAACTAAAGGACTGCTATCCCTTTTGTATTTCAACCACCATTTCACCCATCTACACCTTCCTTTTGCTTGATACTTTTACCACCAAATATCCCTGGAAGTTAGTTGTTATGCTAATCAAAATTATAGATTCAAAACAGTGAGTAAACAACCCTTTTTCTTACTCTTTTGTTGTGAAGTTTTCATGATAGCAACATAGCCAAAACAGTGGTTGTTTTGGAGCATCAAGCCAACACCCAAAAGTTCATCATCTTCAACCTTCCATTCTTCAAGTATTCACATAAGGTGAGTTCATACCCCTACATTTTCATGTTTTCTTCAAGTTTTAATGGGGGGGGGGGGGATATAAGTTAGAACACTAAACATAACTTAAATTTAAAAGATAACTTTCTACAGAAAAGTTGAGTCCTGTTCACAGACTGTTTTGACCATCTTAAACTTAATATCTTTCAAACCTGTACAATATGTAAATATTCCAGGTTTATACCTTTCTAAGGATTACTCGCACGCATTCATACGATTTTCTACAATTTATGACGATTTTTATAAAATTGCCTATCATTTCAGAAGTGATTTAGGACCAGTCTATGAAGATGACCATTTTCACACTAGTTTGAGACCACTAAAAATCATAATAAAAATTAGGAACAAAGTAGACTCATTTTCTAAACTCTCAGAGGTTACAGATTCAGATTTTGACTTACAATGATTTTTCTATAAGTTTTATAAAAACAAGGACAGTAAAGGGTAAAACTGTTAAAAGTGGTTTGTAGATTTATTAACACCTTCTAACATTTTTGAGCAAGGTTTATACATTAAGGAAGTTAAAACACAACCATTTAAATACGTTTAATTACAATTTAACAAAAGTGATAAGTACAAAAAGGTCTTTTCTATCAAACCTAAGGATTATTTCATGCAAAGTTTCTAATAAATACGTAAGAATATGAACAAGAATTACGAAACATACCAAATTATCTTTATATATATATATATATATATATATATATATATATATATATATATATATATATAAAACCATTTGCATATATATGTTTTGTTTAAAAACTTGTCTTCTGCATAAAAAATATACAAATATAGTTTACGAAACTTTACCTCATTTGTATCCCATTGAGCAAAGGGTAAAATATTATCAAATGCATATCTAAAGATTTCACGTCGTTTTTCATAGCTATCCCAGTCTTAGGGTATGATCATTTATACAAAAATTTTTAGCACAAAAACACGTAAACTTGTTGATCAAATTTAGTGAGTTTTGTCTTCACGGTATCTTATAATGTACACACGAAAGTCTTATTAAATATAACCAAAGTCTCTTTTAGGGAGAGTGTGATAGTTGTGTATAGATCTATACTGGGACTAACAATCCTGCACTTTAGTTCCTTGCAACAGCTGGACCGGCAGGTCTAGGGATGACAAATGTCATAACGAAATTGACACCTGAAGAACGTTGCGAACATGACAGACTGGGTCAATCAAGCATGGTTATAAGATAAAAATGAAAACTCACATAAAACAACAACGACACTTTTAGTTTACGCAAAGACAGTCTTCAAACAGTTTTATATACAAACAAAACTGCATAACATCATTGTAAGTAGGAAAATTACTTATACGCTTCGGTCTTGGTTGATTTAAGGCCACATCTCATTTTAGGGAAAATATAGGATTTTCCGGAAAAAAAACATTACTACATTTCATAGAAAAAGGTTTACAAATATACATACAAATGCTTAAGAACTCACCAACTTAAATATTGATACTCTCTTTTCAAATAACTTGTATTCTCAAGAAATCAGTAAATCAGGTAACAATTGGCTTTGAGGATTGGACACTTAGGCATCTAAACATATCTTTTGACAACATATTGTAATTGATATTTTGAAACATGTAATACGTACAAATGATGTAACATTTTCAATTATATATATGTTGGTTGTGTTTGCTTTGAACATTTATACTCAACTGTTATGATACACTACATGATAGTCACCCGCCCTTGGACGTTTCCACCATCCTGGTTTGGGGGTGTTACAATTTTGAAATCCTGCCCACCATTAAGCAACAACAAAGAAACAATTCAAAGAGCACAACAACATCAACCAAAAAAATTAGAGGAAAAATTCATATCAAATGGAAATCACAACAACAAATCGTAATATTACATCAAAAATTCAAAGCTAATTGATAATTTGTAGAAATTGGGACCATAAAAGTCAGAAACGCACCTGTTCGGAAGAAGGTGGTCTCCGATTGTGAGGTCGGAGGAAGACGACTGATTCCGAGCATAGGGTGATTGCCGGTAGCAGGGGAGTAGTGGTTGCTTTTCTTCTTTCAGTAGAGGTATGTTTATGATCGGTGGGGTAAAAGTGGAATTGAATGCATTTTATCCCGGTCCTTCTCATTTGAAGCTTGGATCGAATCACTCAATTTTGATGGACTGAGTCCACATCTTGATCCCTCTTTAGACCCGGTTAGAAGCTAAATCAAACGACCCCTTACTCAAACCTGTTTATTCCGTGTTGGATTTCATGTCGTGTCAGTTTTTTCCATATTTTTATATTTTATTTCAATTTGGCCTTATAGATTATTCATCCTTGTAGCACACATCTTGCGATCCTCACTCATTCTTCACGTATATCAATGTATGGACCAATTTTGATGTGTCACACAACGCCTTAAATGAAAGAGATCAAGTCAATATCTATATAATGTTTTAAGGTGACAATTGATGACACGACAAAAATATACGACACAAAACGAAATTGGAACGGAATTGCAATTTGAATTTGTGTTCATATCAAGTGTAAAAAACACGATGTCGTGTCGTGTTCATTTTCAAAATTTAACACAAAATTGACACGATTTAGTATTTGTTTGTCATGTTATGTATGATTAAGTATTAATTAAATAAAATAATTGTTATTTGATATTATCATTGTCGTGTCGTGTCGTGTTTTTCGTTTTCGTGTTAGTTAAAAACACACTTGTGTTGTGTTCGTGTTACATAAAACATTGTTGTGTCGTGTTGTGTCAGACAAAACCACGACACGAATGCCCGATTTGCCACCCCGAATAATGTTGTTATTAGTCTTGAGACCTCTTAATCTAGAGCTCTTGTTAGGTCTGAAGAATGTTAATATTAGAATGATTCTATATTTTACTACAACCACTAGTCTCACCTTTCGCGTCGGCGATTGTGTTCTTGTCGTAAGGTCATAAAGAGGTCTAAGCTGCTAGCTCAATACAGATTCATCAAACTTAACTAACATAATTTGTGTTGCTTCACTTTGATCATCGAGAATACATGTATGAGAGATGCAAGATTGAATAATTTTTAGGGTATAATGTATGAGCTGGAGTTCAACGTTATTATAGATTTTGCTTATATTCCGAGAAACATTTAATATTGGCTACATTAGGATAATATTGGACAACTAATGGATCTAAGTGACATTAAGAGCATATAATGTCCTCCATCTTTGATCTATTGAATGACACAAATAAGATGTTCAATTGAAATAGAAAAGGGCGATTTAGAATGTTTGCCGGTTGGTGTGTATGTCACGAAGAAGGAATAGCCATGAAGAAACGAGAAGAAAGAAGAAGAGGGTTGAGGGCAGGGGCGGAACACATGAACTATAACTAGGGGCCGGAATTAAAACTTCAAAACAAAACCATATATATATATATATATATATATATATATATATATATATATATATATATATATATAAATATTCAAAATGATGACATATAAAAAATTAAGACAAGAAAACTAGTAACGAAATATTTTTACGTCTCACTTCAAAATTGAAGTCATTGATTTTTTCTATTTTTAAAGTCTTGCAATAGGAATGCTAGACATTTAATGTATTTTTATCCAAAACAATCTCTAGTAGGTGTTCATAGATAAAATTAACACATTCATTTTAAATAACTCGTTAATAGACCATTGTTTTTTCATGTTGGATATGTATTATAGTAGCAATTAATAAATAAAAATATATAGTACTAAAATAAAATAACAGAGGACAAATCTATTATATCAAGCAACAATATTTTTATTAAATATGAGTATAATTGTTTTAGACTTTTAGTGTTTTACATATGGATTTGTATGTTATCATTTTATTAATTCCACTATATTGCTAATATATAAAATAAATAAGTTTACATAAGGATTTTGCATACTATAATTCTACAAAAATAACAAATTAAAAATAGATGTTATCATTATTAATAAAGTAAATTTGTCAGCCTACACTATATCACTATATACCAATCTTACACTCCACAAGTTTACAGAATAAATAAATAAATAAAAATAAAGACCCAAACAGAGTTAAAAGAGAGGGACAAACATGACGAGAAAAAAAACACCTGTTCACCATTGTGGAGAGGAGATCGAGAGGTCAAGAGGGTATCGGAGAGGGAGAGCATTCACTATTTTGCCGGCACCGAGCAGAGCACACAACGGAAAAAAGAAAGAGGCGGAGAAGCTACAGTCCAACGACGGAGAAGCAGTGGTCCGACGAGTGGCGAAAGAAACCGATGTGGGAGATGTAGTTGGCGGCGGTGTTATTCCGGTGAGATTATGACGGTTTCTGGCGTCGAAATATTTTGTTCTTTATTGTTTTCTTAAACTCAAATCTTTGAGTTCAAAATTTTGTATCTCATATTAGAGTTTTTCTTTTCTTTTATAGAGTTGAAAAGATAGTTTATTAGTTTCCTAATATAATTTCGGTTTCTTCTCCCTTGACTTTATCAATGATTTTTTTTATTTGATCAGTGATTTTCGGATGATTTTTTGGGTTAATAACCAAATTTTGTAACTTACATTATATATAAAACAGAAAACAGAGCTCAAAATAGAGGGGACCAAATTAGCAAATAGCAAAATATAATGATTGTTGGATTCATTTATAAATTTTTTTATCTATATATCATGTATTAGGAAGCTGAAAACCGGGGAGGCCATGGCCCCCCTCGGCCCCTCTTACCGTCCGCCACTGGTTGAGGGATCAATAGAGTACACTTGTCCTCATTTGTTTGCTTTTATTATCATTTACTAAATAGATTTAATAGATACTATCATTGTATAGATATTCTTTTATATCAACAATAGGTAAAACCTCCTTGATATATTGGTCTTTGGAAGAAGGGGTGATCCATGTTTTGTGTGTTATTGCTTTGGTTTTAGAAACATCTACATGAATTGTTGTGATGAGACGACCACAGGTTGTATTAGGGGCGGTGAAAGATGCAGATAAATGACAGTGACAGTTCGGTATTAGAAGGTGAAGAGTGGTGTAATTTCAGTCATGTTCTTCATTTTAAGTTTAAAATTCAACAAATAATAGTAATAATAATAATAGTATTTAAATGCATTAATATTCTTTTTATTTTGATCGAAAAAACGAACATGCTACATCAACGCCATATAAATACATATAAATACGTTCTAGTGACTAAATAATACATTGAATGTCATGTTAGCTAGATAACCAGAATGACCGTTGATATATTATAAATTAGTATTTTTGATTTTGACATAAATTTTGTCATACAAAAAGGCTTAACGGCGTAATTTTTATGCTTTTTCGTTCATTGTACGATGATAATTAAGATGTATTCTCGATATATTTACCAATTTTTTAAAGATATAAATTACAAAAAACAAAGACAATATTACAACAAATAAGATCAAAACTTATAGATGATTTGTGTAGTACCTGTCTAAAAAAAACAAACAAACCTGATTAAACGTGAATTATGGTTACGAAAAGCCCAATCAGGAATAGTAAACAATACAACTAAATAGATAATATGAAAATTGGTAAACTCTTCCAGATAAAGAAAATAAGAAAGTGAGTAATAGGTACAAGAAGCAAAGCAGAAAGTACTCCCCAAATGAGCTCTGGCGACGGGTGGTAGCAAATAAAATTGGGGTCCGTAACACGTGAAGAGCAGAGGATTTTGCGAAGCCCAAATTCCAAAAGGAGTTTCATTTTTTCCAAACAACCTCCATCGATGCCTTCTCGCCTTCGCTTCTCAACTTCAACTTGGTGATGCTTTTACATTTCTACTGATTTTAGATTCAATTTCTCACAAATATTGATTGGTGATCATTTTCGTTTTCAAACCCCCGTCGATCATCGAGATTTCAAGCTAATTTAAGATTTCGAAACCCTAAATCTACAGACGTTTGATTCGGTGGACTGGATTTTGGAAAGCTACAGCTAGGGTTTTGAATTTGAGATCAATATCAGCTCGTTGGATAAATCGGATTGAATTGAATTAAGAGGAGGATGAGTTCACAGAAGAAGAGGAATTTCCAGATAGAGGCGTTTAAGCATCGGGTGGTCGTGGATCCGAAGTATGCTGAGAAAACCTGGAAGATATTGGAGCATGCGATTCATGAGATTTATAATCATAACGCCAGTGGCCTTAGTTTCGAAGAGCTTTACAGGTTTTAGTTCTTATCCTTTTCCTTACTTCGTGATGTGGTAATTGATTCCTTTCAATTCGTCCTTCTGTGCTTTATATAGCTTTGTGATGGAGGATTAATCCGTTTTAGGAGTTATGACTTTACGACTAACGAGATATCTAGATTTTTCTGACACTGGTAAAACATAAGAGAGTTACCAAACTATATTATGCATGAATTTCTTCATGGTTTGATTGCTTATGTTGGAGTGGATATCGGAATCTTACTAAAACGCGTGTGAAGATTTGGCATGCTAAATGAAGTAAACATAAAAACGATTATGTAAAGACCACGACAGAGCTTTTTTCACATATCTCCATGAGCGAGGTGATAGTTATTTAGGCGGATTCGTATTGTACCACTTAACTGATTGAGAAGGAACAGGTTTTTGGAGATGAATTTCAGAAGAAAAATAAGAGGCTAAAACATGCTTTCTCTTCTTTTATCTGTCGTACTTTACTTATGAGTCTTAACTGTATTAACCCTCTGTGACGAAACTTTCATATATTGGTCGCTCAACTGTAGTGGTTGAGTTAGTTATGATCCAAGGGGAAGGGGAGGTTTTGCATCATTCTATCATATGAAGAGTTGGCAACTGCTTGTGACAAAATCTTACTTGAGTCTGGTTCTGTGTATATAATTATGCTGCTGTACCTTTTGTCTGGTTCTTTTTCTTTAAGTTGATAAAACCTTGCTCCATTTCAGCTTCCTCTTTCCTTGTTCTTAGCTGTAGTCATACAATCTGTATTATACAGAATAATGAATCTTTAATTTTCAACAGATACAGCTGCTACAAGTTTTTTCTATTCTATATGACTGTATGGCTATATCTTAAAAGTTGGTTCTGATACAAGGATGTATGGTTGTTATAACTGTTAAGAACAGTGTGTTTTTTTTTTTTTTTAACGGCAATGTTAGTTATAACTGTTAAGAACAGTGTGTTTTTTTTTTTTTTTAACGGCAATGTTAGTTATAACTGTTAAGAACAGTGTGTTCTCCAGCTATCTACTTATCATATCCATATAACTAATCTTAATCTGTTATGAATTATAAAAGTGCTACAAACTTCTGTGGATTGATACTATGTATACTCTTGATTAGCTTGATCTGGATAAAAAATGCTGCACTAAGAAGATGTTAACCCTTTCTTGTAATAAATACTACATATTGCAGAATTCATCTATAAAGTACTGTTTTGTAGCTGATATGCTATTTCTTAATGTTACATTTAGAGAATTTTATACATGGTGCTACCCTTTTTAGTTTTTAGGCTAAATAATTTCCAGGTTGAACAGTAGGTATCTTTAACGATTGTTCAAAATTATATATATTCACTTTCCATGCAGGAGTGATAAAATCACTCATGGAATTGTTGCTAGATGGTGATTTGACAAGATATATGGCTTGTTACCTCCTGTGTGAATCTGCCTGCTTAATAAATTTCCTGTGTTTTTTGAACTATAAGATTTTCATAGTGTAGGAGTCTGAGTTTACATGGAGGATTATACTTATAGACTACAACTTAAGATAAAATAAGTATATAAATGCATCACATTTCTTCTCAATTTCCATTCGAAGTGCCGTTTGAATCACATATATCATTGTTTTGTGTTAAAGCTTAAGTGTATGCATATAGCAAATGAGTACATGCAATAGATATCATCTTCCATAGTTCCATTCTTGTTCCTTATCAAAGTGAGTTTTTTCTGCTAATGGCGCCAACATGGCATACTATATTCACATCAATGCCATGTGGCGTTGACATGGAATAATCGTGAGTTTTGACATGAAGTGGTGTTTTATATTATATTTCAGGAATGCGTACAACATGGTCCTCCACAAATTCGGAGAAAAGTTATACTCAGGACTCGTGTCAACCATGACTTTACACCTAAAAGAAATAGCAGCATCAGTTGACGCATCACAAGGCCCATTATTTCTAGAAGAACTCAACCGAAAATGGATGGAACACAACAAAGCACTACAAATGATCCGTGACATACTAATGTACATGGACAGAACCTTCATTCCTAGTACACACAAAACCCCAGTCCATGAACTCGGTCTCAACCTATGGCGCGATAACATCATCCACTCAACCAACATTCAAACACGCCTCAAAGACACACTCCTTGAAATTGTCCAAAAAGAAAGAGGTGGTGAAGTCATCAACAAAGGGTTAATGAGAAACATAGTCAAAATGTTAATGGATTTGGGTCCCACAGTCTACCAAAATGACTTTGAAAAACCGTTTCTCGATGTCTCTGCTACTTTCTACCGTGGTGAATCCCAACAATTTATCGAATGTTGTGATTGTGGGGATTATCTGAAGAAAGCCGAAAAACGTCTGAATGAAGAGATCGAAAGAGTGTCGCATTATCTTGATGCGAAAAGTGAAGTGAAAATAACAAATGTGGTCGAAAAGGAAATGATTGAAACCCAAATGACGCGATTGGTTCACATGGAGAATTCTGGATTGGTTAACATGATTGTGGATGATAAGTACGAGGATTTAAGCAGAATGTACAACTTGTTCCGGAGAGTTCCGACTGGGTTAATGTTGATACGCGATGTCATGACTTCTCATATCCGGGAAACTGGGAAACAACTTGTGACGGATCCCGAACGGTTGAAAGATCCGGTTGATTTCGTGCAACGGTTACTCGATGAAAAAGATAAACACGATAAAATCATTAATCTCGCGTTTAACAACGATAAAACGTTTCAAAACGCGTTGAATTCATCCTTTGAATATTTTATAAATTTGAACCCGAGGTCTCCCGAATTCATCTCCTTGTTTGTTGATGACAAGCTTAGAAAAGGTCTGAAAGGGGTAAGTGAAGAGGACGTGGAGATCGTGCTGGATAAAGTCATGATGCTCTTCCGTTACTTACAGGAAAAAGACGTTTTTGAAAAATACTACAAACAACATTTAGCAAAAAGACTTCTATCCGGAAAATCCGTGTCAGAAGACGCAGAAAGAAGCTTGATTCTAAAACTGAAAACCGAATGCGGGTATCAATTCACTTCAAAACTAGAAGGAATGTTTACCGATATGAAGACATCTCAAGATACAATGCAAGGGTTCTACGAAGCGATGGGGCCCGCGTTATCCGACGGGCCCACACTCACAGTTCATGTTCTAACAACCGGGTCATGGCCCACTCAATCCACCACCACCTGCAACCTCCCACCCGAGATTCTATCTGTATGCGATAAGTTCCGTACGTATTACCTCGGGACCCACAACGGGCGCCGGCTGACGTGGCAAACAAACATGGGGTCCGCGGACATCAAAGCGACATTCGCTAGAGGACAAAAACACGAACTTAACGTGTCCACATACCAAATGTGTGTCCTAATGCTTTTCAACAATGCGGACCGGTTGAGTTACAAGGAGATCGAACAGGCGGTTGAGATACCCACGATGGAGCTGAAACGGTGTCTACAGTCGTTGGCGTGTGCCAAGGGTAAAAACGTCCTTAGAAAAGAACCGATGAGTAAGGATATCGGGGAAGATGATGAGTTTTACTTCAATGACAAGTTTAGTAGCAAGTTTTATAAGGTGAAGATTGGGACGGTGGTGGCACAGAAGGAATCGGAACCGGAAAAGCAGGAGACGAGGCAGAGGGTGGAGGAGGACCGGAAACCGCAGATTGAGGCGGCGATTGTGAGGATTATGAAAGCGAGGCGGGTGTTGGATCATAATAATATTGTTGCTGAGGTTACAAAGCAGTTGCAATCGAGGTTTCTGCCAAATCCTGTTGTGATTAAGAAGAGGATTGAGTCGCTTATTGAGAGGGAGTTTTTGGAGAGGGATCGGGAGGATAGGAAGTTGTATCGGTATTTGGCTTGAAGAATAATAAGAATAAAATGGCCATGTGCTACTGTTTTCTTTGATTTCAGTTTCTTTTGGTGGTGGAAAGTGGATTATTTGGCTTCAGGGATTGGATTTGTTGTTGAAATGGATATGGATATGGATGCAGATTTAGTTTCAAGTAATTGTGTTTTGATAATTTCTTTTTATTTTGGATTTGTGTTATTATTTGGCTATCAACATACCATACACGAATCTACTACAAAGACGTTTGGTTTTTACCTAAACCAAAGTTTATCATTCATTTGAATTATCCTCCTACAAAAGTTCTTGAAACCCAGGCAAATATAAGGTCCAGTCAATGGAAATTCAGAAGTTTGGTTATCGTTAAACCTTATAATCTCTACCCATATTTCTAACACTTGTTGGATATGTGAATGTTGATCTTTAACAATTTAAATAGGCCTAGGCTAGTAAAAACCCAAGTGCTTCTGGTTTTGTTGGTTGTCATTGAAGGGTTGTTTATCATCGTTTGTGTAGGTATGGAACCACGGCTTAATATTGTTTCTAACTAAAATCATTTAAAGGTGTAGTTGGTATGTAAATCATGGTCTTCGGTAACGACTAGAAGTTACTTTTGTTCGGATTAATGGTGATCACTAGGGAGTTTGAGCTAGGGATGAGAATTTGGCCCGAAAACCCGAACCGAACTAAACTGAATTTGACCCGAATAAGCAGTTCGATTTGGTTTTCAGGTATCTATATAAGGCTTATTCGGTTTTCGGGCTATTCGGTTCGTGTTACCCGAGTAAGGGCTTATTTGGTCCAAAGAACCGAACCAAATATGAAAAGTCGGGGTTTTTTTTTTTCCTTGGACAATTACGTATTCGTCTTCTATGATGCACATCTGTTCTATCCATCCGATATCGTTACCCAAAA